ATTTATATTCTATCTTATATACTATATAACTTTAAGTTACTAGATATTAGAATTAGCTAGATTCTAAAAGCTTAAGATCTTTCTATATTTTTACTTTAAAATACTATAGTAATATAGTATATTTAGATTCCTCCTCTTATTTATAGATAGTTTATACTTTTAATTAATAAAGACTATATAAGACTTATATCTTTTAGCTGAATTATAATATAGTATATATAGATTATATAGAGATTAGAATCTAGAATAAAATATAAATAAAATATAGAGATAGAAGTAATAGGAATATATATATATTCTAGAAGATTAATAAAATATATTTTAATAGCTTTTTATAATATCTAGAGAGTAATTAATTAAAATCTTAAATTAGAATAAATATTATATATTATCTTCCAGATTAATCTCTAAAATAATATTTTAAGAATAATAAGATTTATAGATCTCTATAGATATTTAATTTCTTATAGTATAATAGCTAGTTTTATTAGATATTATAGTTTATATTAGTAGAAAATAAAATAACTTATTATCTAACTACTATTTATATACTTTTTATATCTTACTAGTATTAATTTTCTTTAGAATTATTTAATTTCTTAGTCTTACTAGTAATTAATTTTTTCTAATATATTTTACTAGTATAATTACTAGATTAAACTTTTATAGTTATTTTCCTACTATTTAAAGCTAAATCTCTTTAATTCTTTTCCTTAGCTATATATTTTAATAAGGTAATTATTTTAGTAATTTTATTACTATATATAATAACCTTTAATCTATATTATTAAATAAAGATAGTAATTAAAGCTCTAAGATAATAGATTTTCCCCTAAGAACTAGTAATTATATACTATTTCTCTATATAACTCTAGAGGGAGAACTAGATAGTAGTATATATATAGCTGGATTAGGATATTTCTCTACTATAGGTTTAGATATTACTAGTATTTCTTATAATATTTTAATTAGATTAAATTAATTAGTATAAATATAAATAATTAAAAGAGAAATCTTAGTACTTAGAAATTTTAAAACTTAATATTTAAAATTATTTTACTAACTTATCTAGATTATTTAGCTCTATTTCTAAGTAGAAATATAGAGATTATTATCTAAAATCTAATTATTCTTATTTATTTCTACTTATTAAAATTTAATTAATTTTTATTTCTTCTTATTCTCCTATATTAAGTTATATCCTTATAATTAAATAATAAATACTTCTATTTATAATAATAACCTATTCTCCCTATTAGTAGAAGTAAATAAGAATATTACTATATATTTTATAAGTATTAAAATCTAGTAAGATAAATACTTTATCTTTAATTCAGAATATACTATAAGCTTTTTTAGCTAGTAGCAGAATATAATATATTATAAGTAAAACTATTAACTTAATAATAGAGAGATTAATCCTAATATATTAGATAATAGAAAGAAAATCTTCTAGTATTTATAGTAATTTACTATATAGAAAACTTTTAAGCTAGCTATACTAGTATCTAATAACTCTCCTCAGATTATATATAACCTTTATTATATTTCTTTAAAGTAGTAGTCTGTTTATAGTATATTAAGTCTAAGAAAATACTTAGAGAGTATAGCTTATACTTCTTAGAAGCTATTACTATCTGGGTTTAATATAGAACTTACTAAATCTAAATTTATTAGTATTAGTATTTATACTAATTAATATATACTAATTATATAATACTAACTCTCTAACTAGAATCTATTATACTCTAAAGTATAAGAAAACCTATACTTAATAATTATATTACTTATCTATACTAGTTATTTATCTATATAATTTATTAATAATCTATTCTTTAAGTTTATACTTTAGTAGCTTTCTATTCCTATATTTTATATTCTATTATTAATAATAATTATATATTATATATATTTAGTTACTAAAGAATATTACTAGATAGTTCTTAATACTATATACTTATTAAAGTAAAAAATATCTTTTACTATTAATTACTAAACTAATAGAGGAAATAAATAGATAATTCTAAGTATTATCTACTTCTATATTAATTATAACTAGGAAACTAAGTATATCTATCTAGGATTTTTTAATATTTCTAAAGATTAAACTAGTATAGCTATCTATTAGTATATTATTAATACTCTATATAAATCTAGACTAGAATATTAATATATTAGTATTATAGCTAATAATAGTATATATCTTAATATTCAGAATTTATAAGATATACTTTAAGAATCTAATAGAAAGCTATTAACTCTCTATTATTAGGTTTAATATCTTAATTATATTCTTAACTTAACTATATAGTATCTATTTAATTCTATAAAGCTAGATACTCTGAATAATCTTAATAATAATAAGTATAAATATAGTATCTCTAGATTATTTAAAACTTAACTAAATTAGGATAAAATAGAGATATATATTTAGCTACTTAATAATATCCTTCCTCCTTTAAATAATAATAATCTTAAAGAATTAATTCTTAAGATATTTAATCTTCTATATATACTTCTTCCTATATATATACTTCTTTCTATATATATACTTCTTCCTATATATATATTTCTCCCTATATATATACTTCTCCCTATATATATACTTCTTTCTATATATATATTTCTTTCTTATAATTTTAAATAATAAATATAATAAAATACTAATTTTAAAAGATCTAATATTTTACTAATAGACTTAGCTATAGCTCTAAGTAGTTTAACTTCTTTATAAAATACTAGTTATATTTAATATTATAAGGAAATTTAAAAACTCTAAGTAGAAAGACTCTTTAGCTAAGAAGAGATTATCTAATATAATAGAATTTAATTATTCTTATACTTATTAGAGTAAGAAGTATCTTAATAGTAATTAATTACTAATTAAAGAACTAATCTAATTATCTAGAAGCTTAATAGCTAAATACTTTAAATTAATAGTAAATTAATTATCTTATTAGAATTAGAAGCCTCTTTCTATAGATTACTAATACTATAAGTATAAATAATAAAACCCTTATAGCTTTTATTTATTATTTTAAATATATAAATAGCTTCTTAAAGATAGAGATTATATTACTTAAAAACTAATCTTAGCTATTAATCTAGTAATAATAGTTATTACAGGCTCTGCTTAATATATAATAAAAATTATAGAAGTATATTTAGTTAATTACTTAAAGTAAGTAAGTATATATAATTAATATCCTTCTATAAATTATACTAAAAGAATAGGAAGATTATTATTAGATTAGTTTTTACTATATCTAGAATAATATTCCTATAGATTCTATAGAGATATAAGTATATATCTAATAAAAATATAAGAATATATTTATTTTAGAATATACTAAAAACTACTTAACTTAAGATTCCTCTTAATTATTAACTAGTTCTTTAAAATAAAAGAGAATAATTAATAAATATTAACTTATAAGAGAGATTATAGGAATAGTTAGCTTAAAGAAGATAATATAAGCCTAGTTATACTAATTAAATTATACTAATTACTATATATTATTATTATTATTTTACTAACTTATATACTATTAGAATTCTATTATTTCTAAATAGATCTCTAATTATAAAATCTATATTTAGTTCTTTTAGAAGTATATATTTATATTTTAATACTTATTATATCTTAATTATATAAACTAATTAATTTAGAAAAATAATTTTTAAAAAGTAATTAGTAATTTTAGATTTATTTTTTAAAAGAATTAAAATATTCTAATATTTATAAATTAGTAAGAGATTTTCTTAGTCTTTAGTTTATTTCTATTAAACTTAAAAGAGTATAAAGTATATATTACTATATTAATATATAGAATTAATTTAATATATTAATTTAAATACTTTAAGATTAATATATTATTTAAAAGTAATTTATTCCTATATTATAATATCCTAAACCTCTTAATATTAAAGATATTCTTAAGCTTCTAACCCTAGAAGAAGTATTATTTAATAAATTAGAATCTAAAGAGTTAGATTCTATAGAATTAGATTCTGAAATAGAGATAAATACTAGAGTACTTAAGCTATAAACTCTTATTCTATCTAGTCTAGTCTTTATAAATACTACTTAGATCCAGAGGCTTTTAACTACTTAACTCTTAATCCTAATAATTATAAGATCTAAGGGTCTATTAACTCTAGACTAGGAATTAAAATAACTAATACTATATTTAATCTTAAGAGCTTTATCCTCTATTTATATACCCTCTTAAAATAGAAGAGAAAATCTATAATTTTTAACTATAAGAATATTAAATAGTTAGAGTTCTATTTATATCTAGCTATTTAGCTCTTCTTAAATCCCTAATCCTAATAACTTATAGTAAGATATTAATAGATTATATTCTAATAGTATAGGGTTTAAATTTAATAGAGATAATATTAAAGAGATAGATATATAGATACTAAGAAGAGATTAATATCTAAGATATACCCCTCCTAGATTATAAGATTATAAAGTTAGTTAATAGATATAGTAATAATATCTATTAATTAATATTAGAATTAATTAGTATAATTATATAAGTATAAATCTTATTATTAATTATCTTATATATAGATATAGATAGATTATCTTAAAATAGAAATATAATAATTTAGATATCTATATTTATCTAAATATAAAATTAAGTATTAATTAGATACTTAGTTATATCTAATATCTATTTTAAATAGAAATAGATTACTTAGAAATACCTATATTACTATTTAGATAAAACCTATTTAGGTACCTAATAGGTTTGCCGATGTCTAGCCAGGAGCTTTGAATCCTACCCTGTACGTGGTGATAAGAATATTTCTTACATCGAAATAAGTAATTGGTTGAGAAAGAACAAGAGAAATGAAAAATAAGTACATTAAAGTCAAGGAGAAAAACAAGAGAAGGAAGAAGAAGCGAATAAAAACAGGTAGTAGCTATCGTGTAGCTTTTTTCTTCCACCAAGCTACGGCAATTTATGTGAGGAAGAGACTACACACTAGGCATCTGAGTGTTCAACTCTCCTTCTCTCCTCGTGATTGTTCTCACATCCACCCCAGTATGTGTACCAGGATAAATGGAGACATACATCTGCTTGGCCAGCAGTATGCTCTACGCAAGTATACTGGGATATCAACTATATCCTCAACGGAGACATTCACACTGTAGTTCGCATAGAAGTCAGCAAACTGCACCGCAGCGATAAGGCTGCCCCAGATATCGTAGAAGGGAGTTACTCCATTTATATAACTGCTGTTAAGTATGCGAACGCGTTGGTCTGGGAGTAGCTCCAGAATAGTCGTCCATGCTCGAGTGACCATATCTTTGATCTATATAGGCATACTTTGAAAAGAGTACCCGGCCGCCACCGCCGCAGCTGTGCGATCGGCAGAGTTCCCTTGGACAGGCAGAGGAATAAGTAGTACTGACTGCGGGATGATGAGCGTAAGTTGCTGCTCGCTAGGCGAAGGAGTTGAGGACAGCATCTCGATGTTAGCGAGGAGACGGTGGAGAATATGATCTGAAGTCGCGGGATAAAGCTGCCTCTCGGCTACTAAATTACAACGAAATATTAATATTACCGCTATCCTGCTTTGGTGTAGCCAGTGCGAGGATATCGGCTGGCTTATATTGTGGCTAGAAGGTACTCAAGCGGCAACAGGTGGTGCCAAAGCTAAAGTCCTCGAGCGCCTCAAGTCGGCCCTCTAGGTTCTGATATTGCACTACCGGGCTGAAGTACGTCCATACGACCAATTAGTAGTATTCTCCACTATCTTGTCTATGCTATACGTCTTAAACAGTATAGCTGCGAGCTATTAATTATATATAGGATACAGGAGACTATTAACGGTTCGTACTCCCTGCGTTACATCAGGCCCCTGAATCTATATACGTATAGGAATAATATTTATATATAGCCCTAAGATTCTATCGATATTAAGGCCGTTAATAGATATATTATAACCTGCAGTAAGGTAACTAAAAATAATATCGGTGGAAGATAAGAGTTCCGTTAGGACTAGAGCCTATACAGCCTCCAGAATAGTAATAAAAGTGAATCCGTGAACTCCCTTTTTCAACTTAATAGCTGCTCGGGAAACAGTCTCACTCTAGGTGCTCTGGTATAATAGAGATATGTGGCTAAGAATATTGGTTATGGTAGCTCTGGCGAGCAGCTTTGTCTAGTATAACTCGGCGCGCTGCTAATGCTCGTTGAATTTGCGAGCAGTATAGAAAAGTCCAAAAAAGTCAGGCGGTCGGGGACAACTCGACCTTTGTAGATTGCTACGAGGTCGTCGGTAAGAATATAAAACGATATACTGTTGTAGTATATGTAAGAGAGGCGCATCACTAGTATGCTCTCACCCTTGCCGCTGAGGAATAAGAAGCGCAGAATTGGTTGCCCAAGACTAACGGGCTCCACCCTATCTGCCTCCACCCACCTGGCCGCGACTTGTTTCTTGTTTCTGTTGTGACTCAGGGCATTTAAAGGCATGAAACTCTGGGGACATGGAATGCAAAACCACCTGGTAGAGGCGGCGTTTAAAGGTCCCTCAGTACCAATGCTAACGCGAGGACTAATAATATTCTTGATAAAGTCGGGACTGGGCAGAGAACTAAGGGAGGTGAGGGGTTTGTGAACCTTCCATTGCAGAAGGCTCTACAACCTTGGGTTTGTCCTCCAAGGCCTCCAACGGTTGGCACAGGGCTGCGAGGCCTTGATGGCGGAGAAGGTCCGCTATAGAGAGTATGAGTCCGGCAGACCGATATATGCTCACGAGCTTGATAGCCGGAATAGAGCCGCCCCCTTGGTCGAGGAAGCGGTCCTCCAGACAAATTTCAGCACCCGGCCATCCCGGCACCTTGGGAGCCGGACAACCTGGTCGAACTGACGGTCGAGATAAGCCTGATGAGTACCAGATTGATCACCTCTTCATAGCGGACTATAAGGGGCTGAACTTGATTTTCACAAGCCGTGGCAACTACTGGGTACTCAGGGGATGAGAGATTGTTGATGTGGACGGGGCTTGAGACAGTTGTAAGAAATAATTTAGCCAGCAGGTTTTACTTGAACCATGTATCACTTAGGGAATCAGTAAAGCTAAAATCAACACACTGCATTTCTTTTGGTCTATAATAGCAACTCTATCTATGATCTACACCTAATGTTCTCATTGCTTTTATTTCCTTTTAAGAACTGAACTCTGTAAAGAGATATGAATCAATATATTCGAAAGATTCTTTGATAAGTTTCCCGTCATCGTTAGTACTAAGTATCCATAGGTATTCATTTTCATATCGCCCTCTTTCTGTCTGGCCAGATCCTTTAAGATGCATAATTATTTTGCGTTACCTCTCGTCGATAATGGTGGGCATGTCCCCGACCTCAATCGTAGAATAATTATGTAGACCGGGAAGCGAAGACACCAGGAATTCAGTCATGGCCGTGTTATTCATTCGAGGAGTCACGTCCAGAGACGCGGGGAGAATAGTATGCACAGCATCTGTTGTTCGGCCGATGCTGAACGCGCCTTCCGGATCATTGAGATTCGCAACCCAAGCAAGGCCGGTTTGAAGAAGTATCTGACGAAGAGACTTTGGGGATCCCATTTTGATAAAGGAATGAAATTATGTGAGAGAAAATGCATCCAACTATGTCGAATGGAAGTGAGATGATTAGGGTTGAACGAGGTACGCCAACATGCGAACGTGCCTGTGTATTTATACACGCCAAGTTGACAACTTCCTGGGCTTAGGGCCTAGAAGAAGCTTGTCCTGGAAAGCTCACGGTGGTTACTTTAAGATGCGAATTTATCCCCGTCACTTTCTTTTGCTCTTCAAAATCCTGTTCTCTTGTAGGGGTAAGCGAGATTGCCTGTAATACCTAAGCAAATAATTAAAAATTCTATACCTATAAGGGAAAACAATCTCTTGTTCGGGGATAACTATAAATACTAAAGTAAGCGGTTTCCTAATATGGAAAACAATCTCTAATTCGGTAATAACAATAGATACTATAGTAAGCGGTTTCCTAATAGGGAAAACAGTCTGGCTAATAGCTGTTTTCAGGTCAGCAAGAGCATTATTGGGTTGGATACCGGTGCTGGCTATACTATGAAAAGGCTCCGAGTGTTGGAAGGCTTTTCCAAAGCGTACGCTGTAGAGTAGATAGGTTAAAAAGTGATTGATTGAGTTACTATCCTAGCTACAGAAGGGAACCGGTTATAAAGCCGGTTCTAGAGCGGTCCTGACTAAGCGAACCGCTCTGCTTCTGGCTTCCAGCCAGTGACTGCTAGTTAGAGGTATTTAGTATACTAATACCGGGTATATATAAGATATAGCGCTGTTAAACACGAGTTGAATAATCCTTATTTAGAAAGAAGCTCAGGTTCAACCAGATTTGCGCTATCCTATAGGAGGTCCAAAGGGGCCGAAAGCAAGCAGAGTCGTTGATGAAGATGTCGCTCAGGAGATATTTTGCCCCTTAGCGATTAGATTTTTAAGTTCAAACTATCATGGCGCTCACATAATCCGTTGAGTCAGGCCCCCTTTAAGTATACGAGCATGCTGAGAGTGGTAAATTTCGAACACGGACAGCCCTTTCTTAGGTTTTTGGATAGTTTTTTTTTGGATAGTTTGGGTTTCTCTAGCACTAAGATTCAGTGGAACCTATACCTTGTACCACTTCCTGTTGTCCCGATTACTGCCGCTTCCAACGAGACTTGTCTGTGCCTGTGTAGTGCGGAATGGATCGACCTGCTCGGCCACAAACTTATTGTTGTAATGTGGATTCGTATTCTGTCCACTGATCGGGAGGAGCTCGGTTTCGCTAATTGTCTGTCCATTGTCGCTGCTGTTCCAGGTGCCCGCATGTCCGGAAGGCGTATTGTCTTTTCGGTCGATGATTGCCTGGCTATCGCTATAATCCTGGACCTGTACGCTGACTTCGTACGTGACGAAGATTCCACCCAGGTTAAGGTAGGGGCTGATGATTGGCCAAAATATAGGTATGGATGCGCATGTACTCGCTACATGAACTTCGAGAACGCCGAGGAGAATCGATATAGGTCCGTACCAAGTGGGATCGTGGGTAGGATACCATCCTGCTTGGTATTGGATGATGGTCTGGAGACGCCAGGCAGAGAGGAAAGTAACACTGCAAACGTTAGCACCACGGCCACAGCGGCTTGAATTCGCAAAGGCAACAGTACACTGCACCCAAAAAGAGCAACGCGAGCAATCCAAAGCGTGTTCTCGACGAAGATTGGGACTGGAAAAAAAGATGTGTCGGGATGGCAAGAATGTACAGATCGAGAATCATGTTTAAAATCGAATGGGCGATGAAAGTGGCCGTGAACTGAGTCGCCTCGCTAGAACCATATGCCCAGCACCTGGCATCGGGCGGGGAGTACCAGAAGTCGGACACCGTAGAACAAGGAAAGAACGCTAGAATGGCGAAGGCTACACCCCAGAGGGAAGCAATGACAATGCCAAAGAGGCTGACCTTGTAAGGTAATGATGACCGGTCAAAAACACGGAGGTATTGACATAGAAGGGAGAGTTTGATAAACGCCGCGGCCAAATTCAAGAATCCGTTAGTGAGATAGAAGGTGAATAGGTATCGTCCCACCTGTCCGACGGTTAAGAGTAGCAGGTGTTGCCCAGTACCAAACTCGATTGCTTTCCAGAGTCAGACGAGATCTATGGTTGTGTTATGTTCGATCACTCTTACAAATAAGAAAAGCAATACTACCCAGAGTACCGCACAACTATCAGGTTACATTATCAGCTTTACACAAGTGGTCATAGGCAAACATGAGCTAAGTTGAAGAGGACTTACCAAGTACAAAATCACAAATGCATCATCTAACCCGAGTGACTTGACTACCCTCCACCTAACATACAGCCGAAATGAAACACAACTCCATGAGAGTACCTACAGCAATAATTAATTAGTCGCTTAGTTGAGTCACATTAGCTAGAAGTTATGGAGAACCCACCAAGAAACTTGCGATGAGGCCCCTCAGTAACGATGGATGATTTGAGGCAGGAATCGGCTCGTCAAAATTATCATAGTCTTGGCCTATGAGGTCGAGCAACAGCGCATCCTCATCATACGACATGGCCAACGATCGTGCATAAGGCCAGCCATGAAGGTGAAATGTAAACCATTCTTTCGGAGCATCAGCGGGATGGCAGTTTTATCTACTCCGTAGTACAAGTGGAGTGACAGGAGGATGGAGCAAGGGACCCTTGCCCCGTTGCATTGGGTGCTTTTATTCCATCGCTGGATGGTCGATTTTGGCCCCCGACTTACGTGGGCGGCAGCCTCTGCACAATTTGACGATGCAGCAGGCAGGTTCTGATTGGACAACTGCAAGGGTGAGAATCCTAGGATTTTGGCAGATAACGCTCAATTGCGACTTCCAAGGCTGTCGAATTGTATTGATATTACCCGGCCCTTGTTTGTTTCGGGACGTGCGTGGGGGCCATGGCTAGATATCCGCCTTTGGAGACGATTCATTGCTCCTAGGCTATTTCCAGAGCCTAGCGCGTTTGAAAACAAGGAAATAGAACCAGGGGCCATGCCTATAACACGCAATGAAGCCATAGTCAGGGGCAAATTCTACGAAGATGTCCTGCCTGGAGCAAAATCTGGGAAAAGTCCAGTAATACCGAACTGCCTCATTGGAGCTTATTATTTGCCCATGCTAGCTTATAGGCTCACTCTCAGTTTCACAGTAACGCTGCAACGAAGAAAGCTCAGTATAACCTCAAGATAGTAGAAGCACTAGGTCTATTGTTATAGGCCTAGACAGTTTTTTTATATACATTCCATTCAATGCAACTAAATGCTCGGCTTTGACCGACAATGCGCCTATAGCTGTAAGCCCCAATAGGCTTCATGGGATATTGGGGACTTAATCAGATCTCAAGCTCGCCCTTACTGTTAAATCGAAGGCCTGACGATCGCAGATCTAGTACTCCCAAAGAGAAAACTGATTACTCATTCTAAAGCCTTCAGTTCATAGCATACAATTTAGATGTGCTGAATTATATAACTATGTCCATCTAAGGCTTTTCATTTAACGCATCGATCTGAGTGTCTACTTCTCATTTTAAGATACTTTTTTTCGGAGGAGATTGAATGTTTGAAATTCTAGTACTGGTTACTACCTTTATAACTGCTCTTGATATTAGCGTCCTCCACCCCCCTTTATTCCAGTACAAATTGTAAATCTGGAAGTAAGGTAGAATTAACTAAAAAAGGACTCCAATCATGCAGCCTTATATAGGGTTGACCTGAGCAGTTCGTGACCACAATCCTACAATATACCACCAACCATAGAATGCAGGCCCTGAAGTTTTCTCATACGAGAAGGATTGCTATAGGAAGATTTAGACCACAGGGAACTTCGGTCTTTATACCAGGACAATCTTTTTCTCTCCCAGCGTCTACAGCCATAATCACGCGCTGCCCTGCTGTAGTCAGCGCTGCAGTTGGCTTATATATATTGCATGGGCTAAAATCGATATGCTCCAAGTGAAGGATGCAGGTCCGCAGAAGGGGGTGTGGGAATAGAAACCATAACAAACCATTAGGCTGACAGAGGTATACTTGTATTGGCAGCCTTTTAATCGGACTGGCCAACGCGTCAACACCAATCTACTTCGGTAGTCTAGACCCCATATGCTTTGCTTTAACATGTGAGAGAGAAGCTAGTGGGAGAACCTCTGATACCCCAATTATGTCTAGAAACCTACGAAATTTAAAAAGGTCCCTTGGTTAACTCACTTACGGGCATGGTACTGGTTGAGCATTATATTCCTGCCGATACCTAAGTCTTTCTCAATCTGACAGGGCCATCGCTTACATCTCTCTCACTCGCCATAAAAGAACAGTTCAGAAGCGATACGGCCAGAAGGTACAAACATAAAGCCTTCGATGACAATTCGGATGATTTTGGCCCCGCTGCTTTCCAGCTTGAGATTTGGTTGAGGTGGAATGAGTAGGGGGCATAATATTGAGCCGAAATAGTGGCTCTTTTTTATCATTGAGTGCGGGGCAACAGAGGTTCCTGGAGCCAGAAGCTTGAATATCTTGAGATAAGAATTGTATCAATATTGCTCTCGTGGTCATTCAAATTCAACTCCCCTGAAAGTTTAGTTTCATGGGAGACATGTGACTCAAGGGTCAAGGCAATGTCATTGCTCGGATCTACGACGCTCCGACCTATAGTTAAATCAAAGAAATTAGTTGCAGTCAAAGAAAAACTGGCAAGCAGCTTTAAGACGAGATACGGCAGTAGCCTGCATTTAAAAGCGGCTCAAAAGCCAGAAGGAAAGTGCATTGTATTGCCGGCAGAGCGGGTGCTTATTATCGTCGTGAATGTCAGTGCCTGGCGGTGTGGTACCAGCATAGGTAGTTATACGTAGCGACTTGAGTCTTGTATTCTGCCTGGCTGTCTTGGACCAAAGATGTTATCATGCTCGAGCGGCTTGCCCTCCGGGAGATCCCCCGCCTGCCGTGGATTAGCGCACTACAGCACCATTGCGCAACGATTGTGGGGTTCATCTCAGTCGCATCAGCAGAGAGTGAACACTTGGGGCGAGTCATCCCCCGAGATCACATCAGAATCGGCATGTCGCCTAGAGGGACGTGGCGGCTGCGTACCCGGCATAAACTCCGGTTTACCGATATGATTTACTCATCCAAGGTTTGTTGGTGGGTTTTCTATTTGGGCGGATGATCACTTTGAACCGTGGCTGCTCTAGGCTTGAGAACTGTCTCGCCCTGCAGGCCGTTTTATTCACCAACACTGCATTATCTCATCAATCATCTTCTTCACAACCACCAGAGTCATGCTACTGTTACTCCTCTCCCAGGTTCTTCTGGCGACGGCACGGCATAACCCAATGCTACCCGGGTGAGCATTGTCAATGGCCGGGTTCTGATCAGAGTCTACTCACACGCTACAGATGGAACCCAGACCCAAGCATTCTCCAGGTCAATGGCACTTATTATCTCGCGACGTCTAGTTTCGAGTATTTCCCAGGAACTCCCATCTACTCTTCTAAAGACTTGGCCAACTGGGATCTGATCTCTCATGCACAGACATCGCCCAGTCAAGTTCAGCTCTATGGGACGCCGACTGGAGCAGGAGTTTGGGCGCCCACTCTGTCCTACATCAATGGTTTGTTTTATCTCGCGTCCATGACAAGATGGACCTATGATCCAGTGGCACGAGTTTGGCCGCGCATCATGTATATGACGTCGCCAGATCTGATCAGCTGGTCTGATCCCATCTGGACTGAGCCCTGGGGCATTGATCCTGCTCTCTTCCAAGACCCCAAGACCGGCAAATCTTACCTTTCCCTCATGGCCCCGAACAATAACGTTGATCGAGTTTGGGGAATCTACCAGTGCGAGGTAAACCTCGCCACGGGTGACTGTTCAGGGCAATACATTAACCTCTATAATGGTACTTTGCCACAAAACAGCAGCTCACGTCTCGAGGGACCCAAAATGTTCTACAAAGACCCGTATTACTATCTTCTCACTGCCGAGGGGGGTACGGACGATCAGCATCGATCTACTATTGCCAGGTCTAGCTCTTCAGAGGGACCATTTGATCCGGCACCAAACAACCCGATTCTGTTCAACGGTCGTTGGGGATTCGACAATCTGACAGTACAGTCCACTGGACACGGCACCTTTGTTGAGACTCCCACCGGAGAATGGTTCTGCGCTTTCCTGGCAAGGCGAAAGGTCAATGGTTCTTCTCCTCTCGGTAAGGGCTCCCGCTAGGTAGACTTTAATGTGTTATACCACTGACCATGCACAACACAACGCAGGACGAGAGACTTTTCTCACTAGTGTGACCTGGGAGGATGGTTGGCCAATGCTCAACAACGGCAACCCGATTCTCCTCAGTGAACCGGTTCAGGGTATATCGGCTGAGAAGAGCGAAATGACATCGTTCGTCGAAGACTTCTGCGGGGAAACACCAGATCTATCCTGGTATCAGCTCCGAATACCATATACCAAGAATTACGCATTGGCATCTGGAAATTACGATCACGGCATCTATAGGCCTCACAGGAACTCCAGCGTTGACGAATTCTGCGCCCTTGTTTTAAGACCAAATGTTTTTAGCCTGAGCGACCGAGATACCCCAGCTGCCCTGCTCCGTAAGCAGAAGTCATTGAACATGACATTCTCGGCGACTTTGCTAGCCACAAACTCGTCGCTTAACTACCGCCAATCAGTCGGCATTTCCATTTACCTCAGCGAATTGTCGCACCAGGACGTCGGGGTAAAGGGCTGCAACAATACTACAGGGCTCTGTGTATATTCTCAGACCATGATAAATGGGACTACTCAGGTACGTCTATATGAAAGCCCTAGAACTCGACGTGAATCTGATACTAGCTGGGCTGTTTAGGAAAAAGAGATCTCATTAGGCCTGAACACCATTCCGCGCAATATTACGCTTTACATCCGAGCCCAGCCACTCTCGTATACGTTGGGCTACTCAATCAAAGAGGGCGAAACGACGTGGATTGATGAGGTGTCCTCAAAATGGTTGGCCTGGGCCCCCACCAATTGGTTTGTATTCAGCGGAGCAAGCTGGGCCATCTTTGCGAGCGGAGGAGGAGAGCCTTGGCAACCGTCGGGTGCTATGGTAGGGTTTACAAAGGTGCGCGAGGAATACCTGGAGGAGAATATCCCAGACTACGACATCTGGTAGTAGAGTGTTCAAGGTCGAGAGCATCATTCTTCTAGATAGTGCTATATAGGGTGTTTGTATTATATAAATCAACCGAAGTCCAGCCTACTCATAGCCTGCCAGGGGATTCTTTGCATTTGAGAGGTTTGAGGCATTGGTGGCGATTAATGTCACCAGTTTTTCAGAATTAGACAGAACAGCGATGGAGTCATAAGAGAAATTGAGTGTAAACCTAAAAACAGCAATGGAAGATGTCAGAGCGGAACATCTCAATAAAATAAATGCTAAAGCTCATAATATAGTCTTCCATAACCCAAGATGTAGTCATATGGAAGGAAAGGCCAGTAAACCTTCATACCGATGACTCACTTGCCGTCAGGACGAGCGGCTCGTCGAATGACTATTTAGCTACCCTCTTTCACCTGGCTTTACAGTCGTCTTACACCAATTCAAACATTTCAACCAAACTTGAGACAGCCAACCCGGTGAGTATCAGAGCCCCTTGGCCAGAGCACTTACACCGACACGTCCACAGCCTTCGAGGCGTGTGACTGAGGATGAACTCGACGCAAATGTCATCTCGGCATTGAAGACCAAGAGACTGAAGTGATGTGTGTTTCTGGTGTGCAAGTCTAAGTCATTCCAGGAGAATGCCGTCACCGAGAGGAACAAGTAGGGTAGTCTGCGGTGACACTGAGATGATTGGAGGAAGGGATCAGAGGACATAGCATGAATAGAAATGCTTTTAAGCTTTTAAAATATAATGAAAGGCGATAGAGCCAGAGTGACAAGGCGTAAAATTGATAGGTATAATTAGAAATGAGAAGATGATTCATGTTCACTACTGAGCCACTAGGAACGTCAAATACCCAGGATAGCATCTCGTTGTGTAGGTCTGCGCAAGCTTGCAGCTCGGATGCGAACGTGATCTAAGTAAAGCAGACAATGCACCTGTGTCAATATCGCCAAAAGTAGCAGCATCTAAGTTCTGACGTTAATATTCCCTACACCCTCGGGGCCCAGCTTGCCTCCGCCCCAAATTGTTCGATGATTGTCGTTATCGAACCGACCTTGTCCATGATACGACCAGATCAAGTCACCCCAGCCTGGGAAGTCGGTACCTCCTATTTCCTGATTAGCAACTCTTTTTCTTAGCAACTATCGCCGCTCTGTCTAGTGTTTGGGATTTTACCGGAGCCCTCGCCACCGACAGCGTCAATTGCCTTCTTCATCTTTGTTGTATACTCCGCCTTCTTGCCTCTCTTGACAACATACTGGTAGTAAACAATCTGCATCACCAGAATTAACTATTTAGACTATGAAATCCCAGCCTGAAATGATCTGGCTATCATTAGGTGCAGGACACTTACGTCAAATGCGCCGGCAGTGATGCCACGGCTGATGTTCGAAGGCTGAGCCCAGGGTCCGTTGACGAGGATTGCCTCGCACCGGTAGAAATTGCGGTCATATTCTACATCATAGTCAAGATTGTACTTGGCAACATATTCACTAGCCTTGAGAAGGAGATCATCGCCGTAGCCATAGACGTCACGGCCTTGGCTTTGGATGACTCGAGCAGCCTGTGCGGCCCAAGCAAGTGCGCCCTTGGCGTGGCCTTGATCACGACCAATTTCAGCACCTTGCCCTGTGCGCATCTGGAAATTACCGTAGATGCCACCGCAGGGATCATTCTTCCATGCATGGATGGCATAGTTATACTACATAATACAGTAGGTCAGCTTTATGTCCGTGTCTGAGGAGCTAGCTTCAAGCATGCTTGAACCTACCATGGCCACGTCGTCAAGATAGACGGCAAAAGACAATAGTGCTTTGATGCTCGCCATACCGTAGTTGGCCTGCCCAATGTTGATGGACTGCTTGGCGAACAGCCAATATAGCTGATTGGAGAAACCAGACGTACCCATCCATTTCGCTCCCTGCTCTACCCAGCCGCCCTCCCATCGCATGATCTCCGCAGCATTGACAAACAGGTCGCCTTCCAGGCCGACCAGAAGAGACGTATCGACACCGATGATGTCGGTCAAGTTGGTACCCCATGCATCCAGGATAGATGCAGCTTTGTCCCAGTGCCCCTGGTCGCGAGTGATGTACCACATCAGGGCATTTTGATAAGCGCCACGCACATCTGAAGTGAATGTAGTGTAATTGTTGCAGCCACCTCGGCATAAAATCTTTTGCGGACCGCGCATTTCGTACTAGATAAGGCCCATCAGAATCAAGCAAGATTGCCACATCTATTCCGCTTGCCATTTGCATTCAGCAACGAGTCACTTACATCTGCCATGGAAAATTCGCTAGCGCTGAAGTTCTTGAAAGCAGAGGCATAGGGCTCTTTGCCCTGCTCGACGCCTACTCTTATCCTCTCGAGATCGTCGTGTGTATGCCAAAGGCCAGGATGAACGAACTGGCCAGGTCCCGACTTCATATCCGGATCACCTTGGGGAACTATGGGGATAGGGCCATTCAGCACGGGCAGCCCGTTCAGACCACCAGTCGCTGCAGCAGGCGGTACGATGAAGGCGAGTGCGCCCAGGAAGACCTGTACGAGAGGTAGATAGTTCCACATCTCTGTGTACTCACCTACCCTTTCTCGCTCGTCCTTTTCTTATTTGTGCAATGCCCGGAGGAAAACTCAAATATAATGCAAACCCGAATTGATACAAGGTGGCTGTGATCGAAGTAGTCTGGGGCGTAGGAAGAGGGCTTTCATATGCAAGATGTCCTCAGCCTCAATAAACTGCTATGTAATGCCGGGCTGCTCCCGATATCTAAGTATACATTCCCCACTACGTGGTCGATTTCTCTGTAAACCAAGTCGACTGAGGGGGCGGCCGGGGCAAGTACGGCGTCATTTTCCGGCACCAACGCTTTGCCCAACCAGCGGGAACACCAAAATGCGGGGTGAAAGTACTAAACTGACATAAATAGTGGCCCCTGTTGTCGGGCTAAATCCTGGTCGTATAAACGTCCTCGTTTGTAGAGTAGCGGGGAGGCGAAACTTCGAGCAGCGATTATCTCGCTGTTCGAGATGGCATAGGCAGTTTAAGATACGTCTCCATGCACTCTAAGGTTGGTGTGCGTTGGAAGTGCCCTTCTTGAAAAGTCTGCAACTGCGACAGTCAGCTACGCCTCTTTCGTTTTTAGAGACGCGGACAAAGTTTCGGCGCGGGGCCGGAGCAGACCAGACCTGAGAACTGAGCGGGGAAGTGTACGGATCAGCAAGCACAGCTAGGGTAGACCGGGGGCAATGTGCACCAAAAATCGACCCGTCCCGTCTGTACTCTCATGCCAATACCTTGCTCGCTCGATGCAAGGTATTTCTTGGGATACAGATGTCAAGGAAACTGCGAAGGGTTAGCGGAAGAGTCGATTGTGAAGAATTTCGTCGTCGTAGTGGACAAATTGAGCGCTGTGGTGGGGGATTAGTTATTGCTCAGGATTGGAGTTACATCTGTTCAGGTGACCATGGATCTGCTCTGTCATTTAAAATGTAGGCAAAAGACATCCCGAGGTGTCCCATTGACGCCTATGTGATCATTTCGGCGCGTATTCAAAGGCGTAGAATGTGGCGGAGGGGCAGGTGTATCTTCTTGTCTGCTCGCAAAGGCCCTCACCGACTATCCAACATCTTCAAACATGCCGGCCCTTTGCAGTATCTGTCTAGATCATTTAAGCTTCGCGCGTCCGGGCTTGGTGGACGGAGTAAAAAAAATGAATTAAGAGCACAAGCTATTGTGGATGGCATCAGCAGAGGCCATCATGGCAAAGACGTCCAAAGTCTGCAAATTGACCTGCAAAAATACGAGAGGGCGTCTTACTTACGAAGTAGAATAGACACTCTTGCTCCATGGCAACTGGATCCATGGCAACTGGATCCATCCTTCAAGGTGTCGTTTCGCGTTCGGCAAATGTTGAGTTTCTGGTGACCTGACTACGCGTTACCTTGGAAATCCGCCAAGATCACAGGCTGTCCGATTGCCGATCTCTCATTACCATGATACGACATGTGCTAGGTCAAAATGTGCTAAAGGCAACATGTCTTACGAGCGTATGGTTCTTATGAAGTGGACGTATGTTCCGTCGATGTTACAATTCTGAGTCTACGAAGATAGAGCACGCTGTGCCGACAAACTAGATCCCCTTTCTTTATTGTAGCATGGCTTACTTCAACCCTGGTAAGAGTGGCCGTCTTCCCGAGCAACTTCCGAGCTCGCTAACTCAAGGGGGATTTAACTTAGAGCCCATCAATACATAACTGAGACTGCCCAACTGCCAGCAGATGCAGAAGATCTACCAAATCACTATCCGTGATATAAACAACAGACTAGACTCAAGTCATTAAAGACCCCACTTATCAGAAACCACTCTATCGTGGTCTTCCCCCCACCTCTTTAGAGCACTGAGCAATACGTTGAGTTGGAAGCGGTAGCCGGTAGCTCAGCTGAAGGGGCATTCTGCGGCCTCCTCTTCCGCCATACCTCAGTCTTCTGTTCAAATGCAAAGGCAAACCTGATCAACTGCTCCTCAGAAAATCAACCTCCAATGAATGTTAAACCGAAGCTGACGGTTCAAAAAGGTTAGCTCTCAAGTAGTTGCAGGCTTTGAACCTCTTGGGGGGCGGCTTTACTTACGGTAAACCCGGGGCCTGGTCAATCAACTCATGACGAACGTTCCAATGAATCTCAGTGCCTTCGGGGTAAAACCCAAGCGGAACAGAAAGCATTGGGAAGCCACCCAAGGCAGGCATAATAGGAGCTACACAGGTCGGCATGACAAGGACGTCAAGACCGTTGCGTTGGAGTGCGCCAGTGACCCCCCCTTCGTTTGCGAGATACTCCATGTATGCAAGAGCGTCCTTGAAAATCTTCCCTTGGATCTGTTTGTGTGTGGTGGACTAGGTCTTGCATATTTCGCATGTTGTTGGGGTTGACTGTTAACGAAGCGCAGTGTTGCGCTAGGCGGAGCTTGAAATCGGAGGATTTGATAACATCTGGACATTTACTCATGATGGCCTCATCAAATGCAGCGAAATCTGTATTTTCAACAATAGTTGCGCCGCACTCTCGGAGGATATCCCTAAAGAAGTCTCAGATTACCTAAGGAATATACAATTACCACTTTACTTGTCCCGAAATACGAGGGAGGGTGATTCCACGTCACCAAGTGGATAGTGCGCGATCGGGGACATCAGTGAATGTCTGCATCGGAGCATGAAAATGCAATTCAATGCTCCTACTCGCCTCATCAATGAGGAATGCCGTAATAGGTCCCACCACCATCAGTCAAAGCGGCTCAACCAGGGCACGCATGGTCGTTGACCGCCCGGCGTATAAGCGCGGCCCAGGGGAGAAAAGGGGCAAAGGGTGGGCCCGCAGCTTGAATACGAGGCTGGGCGCCGGAGGTGGCCATGATTGGCACGGACATAGACAGCCGAGGCGAGGCGAGGGACCGGAATCTGGGGCAACGGGTCTGGCCCGCAGTTTATATGGTAGCTGAGGTCACGGTGGCTATCGTAATAGTGTTCGGTCTGGCTTGTCTGGTTATGCCCGGCCGACGGTGATATGCGAGTGCAAGTATAGCCTGGGGAGGGCTGTTACCATGTTATACGCGGTTGAGGCTGATCCGCTTTCACGAGAAGATCGTCGCTGTGGCGGGTAAAGGATTCAAGGCGAACAGGTATATATCTGGCAAAGGATCAGCTTCCAAGATAGCTTTTTTCACCCTCATACTCATTATTCAACTCTACAACCTCAATACCGTCTCTTCCACTCTACTCTGAATCTTCAACCATTCTACAACTCACCTCCACCTCTCCCTCATCATGAAGACCTTCGCCGTTGCCTCCCTCGCCGCCGCCGCCGCCGCCGCCATGCCCGCCGCTAATGAAGCGCGCCAGACGACCAACTCCGATATTACAAACTTTGAGATTCTCCCCCTGCGCTCGGCCAGCGACATCCACTTTGCGCGCATCAGCGCCACCAAGAGCAGCCTGTTCGCCAAGCTGCCCGAGCAGGACGCCTCGTGCCTCGCGGGCGTCGACGGCAACCAGCCCGCTGCCTTCCAGATCAACAGCGAGGACAAGACCCTCTGGCTCTACGCCTCCGGCAACCCCCGCCAGCAGATCTACGTCGACCGCTCGGGCATGGGCCAGGGCAAGATTGGCTATACCACCGGCGCCCAGCCCGCTCCCCGCAACGCTGAGCGCGAGGGCTGGGCTATTAACGCCGATGGCAACCTCCAGTTCGATGGCACTGACCTGACGGCTTGCCCTAACAGTATCGATGGCGCCTGGAGCATCTGGCTGAGCGGTGCCAGCAACCCCGGCGGCAATGAGGGCTGCCTGGGTTTCTCTGCCCGCGCCGGTAAGGTCGAGAAGCCTAACGACTGCCTGTACACCTCTTAAGGTCGTAAGCTGGGATAACTATATGATAATGGTTGGGCGAAGCTTATTTAGACCTTATAACTAGAAACTATACACAATAGTAATATTAGATGTTTCATCTAACTCAAGCTATTCATTTTACCGATAATCGTGATTTAACCTGTGATGTAGAAACTTTCGGTATGCGAGAAGCTATGGCTTAGATAGAATGATATATGATTATCTTGCTAGTTGATTTATAGTTATCCCTTCGGGAAATATAATGCAGTATATTAGAAATAAGATAGAGTAAGATATAGGGATAGATCCGAGACCTGATTTAGATTCCTTATAATTATTATTACTTTATAGTAGAGTTATTCCAGTACTCTTATACACCTTCTCTGAGGTCCTGAAGGAAATTATTTTTCACCTTCTCCTTCTGCCTTTGTTACTTCTAGGAATTAACTTTCTCTAGAAAGTTATCTATTTTACCTTTAAAACTGCTATTATATATATAATAATAAAAGGGGGTAAAGACTTAGCTGCAGTTAGTACTAAAATTTAATACTTATTTCTCGGTGCAATTATTTAAACGCGGAAGAATTTGAAGTACAATGCCCTTGATTTTACTAACCCGGAACTGGATCGGAGAAGAGGTTTAGGTGGAGTGAATTAGTATGCTGGAAGATAAGACTTGTGGGTGTACTCCAGTACGTTAGTATCTGCGGGGCAAAGAGCTTTTGTCCTCTTGCTACGTTTGCTCGTACATAATCCATCAAAAGACTACTCGACAAGAAGCCAACTTCGTCGTATATGCATATAAATGACTAGATTTCCAAGGCGATAGCGAGGCAACGATCAGAGTCTTGTCAATTATAAAGCTCTATAGCACGTTAACTTATATATCTGCGCAGTAATAGACTTCCCCATTAGATATTTCTATTACCAGGCGATTCCACAATCTATTGTATGCCCAACAAAATATATTTACATGCCTTGGGGCGTGAGGGGAAAGCTTGTAGGGCCCTTGTAGACCTGGTGAGCACCGTTTGGGTTCTCGGCAGGAACGACCGTCTCAAGCTCCGCGGTCTGGATTTGGTAAACACCAGATTTGTTGGAGCTAGGAGTGACGGGCTCGTATACGTAAAGCGCGAGACCGCCGAAGGATTTGATGATCTTGAACGTTTTGGAGGTTTGCTCGCACTCGCCATTGTCCAACGCAGGCAGCTCGCCAATCCCATCAGCAGAGACCATGGCGGCACAATGCTGAGGAGTTGTCTGCATTGTGCCAGGCTCAAGGACGTCGAAGTCGTAACTAGAGACAAGACAATCGTCAGCGACGGTTCCGATCGAGTAAATAAGATCCAGCAGTCTAGAATGAACTTTACCTGCATTGTGTGCTATGGGGTATACAGCTGGCACTGAAATTGGTGACCTCAAACACGGTGTCCTGCCTTTTGTACCTAGCTGCTGTAGCACCGGCAGCGAAGGCAATAGTGGAAAACTTCATATTGGAGGGTAGTAGGTTCTTTAAAATTGAGTAGTTATAGGATTGTTGTGCTGTGATCCTTTCAGAAGGTTTGTTTTGAAGTAGGAATAGGTGCTTGGACAATAGAGAGTGGTCAACAGAGGTCTGATATAGACATTTAACGTTACACCCTCCGATACGTGCGTGGCCTACTGCTCGGTCGGCAAGTCGGGATATGAGGTCATAGGAACTCTGCAATACGAGACAGTCTAACCAACCGGGCTAGGTGGCGGTGACGATCAGAAGCCGAGCCATCCCAGTGCGTTCAGGGGTCCACTGTCACACTTGTCGTGTTACGAGCTTGGTCTGGCTTCTGAGAAGCTTGGGCCTCTAGCCTCTGCTATGCGGCCTAGCTTGCTCAATCACAGGGAAAGCATAATGACAGGAAAGTACGATCCCCTCGCTTTGCCTTGCTCGCGTTCGCAGAATCATACTTATCCAACAAGATTTGTCGAAGGCAATATTCTTTGAGAGTGTTTCTACTGTAGAAACTCAGATTCTGCATTTCCCGCTCTATGTACACTGCCGATTATCCGAGTATGATCCCCAGGAAATTGTTTGGCACTATAGGTAGATCATCTTAAGTTGAAGGAACAATGAAGTTGCTGAGTGCTTCTCGAACCTCCTTTCAACTGTTCCGGCCGGGCACTATAGTTCAAGTCTGGTTTAACACAGACAAGCGATCCATCGTCAAATAGTTGAGTTTTGAGAATATAATATCGCTTACAATATCTTTATTATTAATATTATAATAGTGCCTAGTAGGATCTATTAAAATTTAGTAAGTAAATTTTTATATTATTAAAAATTAAAGGATAGAATCTGAAATCGCTGAACTGTATAGGGCTGAAGTAGAGACCGCCCAGATGCGATGGGCTCAGACTTGGATGTTCAGACGACTGTTGGGGAGATTGTTGTTGTGAAAGGTGTGTCTCAGCAGCATGCTTCTGCGCGATGCATTCAAAGGTGGACCGGTAGGCGCCGAGCATCCGGTGGCTTGCTGTGTTAAGGAGAAGGCTCAAATTGGTGTCGGCCTCGCAGCTGCAGTTCCGAGAGGAAATATGGTGTAGTGTTTGCAAGGCGGCCCGGTTGATCGTTAATGTCTGGTCTGTGGGAATGCTCTCTGCGGGCGACTGGAGCCTCTTGCTCAAATCACCTCTTTCACTCAGCAACCTGGCAGGGCTAGCCTTGAACCGACAGGAGTCGAGTGGTGTGGCGCATAAGCTAGACAGAGTCTCTAGGACCATCTCGTAGCAGGAGTGAACGACGGGCGATGCTCTGCTTTGAATCGAGAGGGTGTAGATACCAGATTCAGACGAGGATCCCGCAGCTGGGGGCGCCTCACCCAAGGATGCTAGGTGAGCAGCATCGTCTACTACACTCTGACTCAGTGAGTACAGAGAACTTGGCCCTGGCGGAGCGACGGGTGGACGGGGAAAGATCCATGCATGTATACTGGGCGTCTGCATGCGCGTTTGGCAGTAGCTGCTGAACATGCGTACTGGCGAGCGACGCTGAGCTGGGCGGTTCCTGCTCCTCGGCAACCGGCGTTGGTTGCGACGTTGGCTGTGCCAGGGCCTCTCAAGTCTCCCTTTCCAACGGTAGGGGCTGTAGACGCACGCGAGGCCGGGAGTCTTGCACCTCACACACGTCGGCGTCTGCTTATCGCACCGGATCTTTGGTAACATGCATCGGTCGCAGCTTGATCTCAGCTTCCCGCTCCCAAGCCTCCCCTCCGTAGCCATCATATAATTAACCCCCTATCTTCAACCATTGATATTCTTTCGCTAGACAAAGCACTAACAACTTAACAACTACCTGGCCGTACCGAACCAAGGTGCTCTTGTTTTCCCGCGTACAGACTAATATGATTGGGGTGCAAAAAGATTATATAGAACATAGTGGCAAACCACCAAGTGTGGCTACCAACCAAGTGTAGTTTTGGTAATCTCTATAATGCTCGCTTACCCTTCTTCGGTGCCGGGGCCTTCTTTGCGCGTCAAATTTGAAGTTCCTAGAACGATAACACCTCGTTCGCGCAGCCTGGAGACAATAGAAGCATCACGGCCTGTTTGCGCTCCCAGGAACGCAGTAGTTCCCGAGGTGCAATTCATATTGGAGATTGCAATCTGGTTCTTTATCAGCATGGTTACACCATGTATCGGCCTAAGCCCAGCCAGGTGAGTCAGTTGAAAGAACCAGTCAATCCGATGAGGTAGTAGTTCAATGGGACTGCTCACCTCCTCGTTTGCCCCTAGGCTCGTTCAGAACCGACAGTTTTTGCCTGGTCCAGCCCAGGACGGTGGGATCAAGCTGGGCAACACATCTCATCCGGTGATTGACTTGATGGATCCGGCGCAGATGGGTTCGGACCAAGTCTTCTGATGAGAAGCGGCCTGTGCTAAGCCCTATATTGAGGCCGTCCAACGGCTGGTCAATCGTAGTTGGGAACTGAGCCTGGATGTCGTGATTCATGTTGTTTTTTGGGCCTTTGCTGGAGAAACTGCGCAGTTGTAGGAGGTTAGAGAGAGAATACTTCAGGGGTGTCCTCATCGCATTCCATGACGGCCGCCGACCGTTGATGAGGTAGGTGCCTTGGGTTAGGCTTATTAGGAGGACTTGACGGGTAATGGTTGGACACCTGATGTATTGCATCCAGATCATACACTGAATTCGAGCAATGCGCACCTCTGAACTTAAACGGTCAGTGAATGAATTGTTCAAGTAACATGTTGTTTCTAATCCCCCATCATGTACCAGTGTTCGCCGTCCTCGTCTGGCTGCGATGAGTCACCAACTCGTCAGCCGCTCTGCGCTTTCATGCAAATAGTCAGCAGCTTTTATCTTTTCATGCATCCTGACCTGGTTGTGTTTGGTTGAGTCTTGAGCTCCAACGCTATACATGACATCTACGTTCGATAAATATAGCTCAGCGTTGATTGAAGTGTCCCAAGACCATCATGGGGATAACGAAGACAAGGCAGCAGTGAAATGTAGGCAGTGTGAGGAGTGAACTCAGTTCAATTTCGTATCAAGCAAAAACAAAGGTAATCGTGTTGAGTTGTCCTTCCTAAATCCTTCAGCGTTTTGCTTCCAAGACTTAACATGCACTGCTCTAAGGCTGGTTGATTTGATAGGTTTAAAAAACTTCAGATGCCGACAGTCATCGGTTCATTAATCACCACCGCACCAAATGGAACAGGCTTAAGCCACCTAGTGGATCCTCCAAGTAACGAATGGGTCGATTGGCTTAGTCTGGGGCTTCTGGGGGAATTGCATCCAAGGCTGTTGCAAGCCCGAGTATACCGCTGGCACCTGGCCCATTTGCTCGTTGGCCAAATCGGGCTCTTCCGCCATTGCCGTTGTCATAATCTGGGGATTTGGGAAAGAAGCTTTTTAGTTTTGCGTCTTGGGGCATAGGTTTAGGCATTTTCTAGCCTACACCATCATTTATACTTGTATAACGTGGCTTCTGTCCGGGCTTTTGCCTGTTCGGCTTTCGATCGCCACCTGCCATCTGCCCACAATGTTTTTGATCTCCCATACCACTTCAGAGGCTATGGCCCGATTGGATGCAAATCTACCAAATCATGCGCTCCAACCCTCGCGAAAATGCGTCTTTTTTAGCGTGAGGGGTAATCCATGGTGGCTAACAAGATACTTTGTGCCTTGTATGGGGTCGCGGCTCTGCTTGAAGGGAGACGGTTTTTTGGATCCCCATTCACTGTGACATATCATACATGATATCTTGTTGAGACCGGAATTTGGGCATTTCCAAATTCAGTCTTCAATAATCCAGACTTTGTTTCGCTTCGTTGATCCGAAACAGGAGAAGCAATGGGGAAAGAAAACACAAACCATCGTATCAACCCTCCCGTTCATGAAGGAAATTTCGGGAATGAAGTGCTACCGAATCATTGGCCCCCTCCCGGCCGAACATGAGAGCAAGAGGACTAATATCGAAGCTATGGAGGTGGCACATGTCACCGTATACAATGGTCGCCCATACTAGGACCGGCTTTCCATCGACGACCACGGATTCAAATTTATCGTTTTGAACACAACACGCAACTGATCAGTGATCACTCTGAGGCAGCGCAAGGTTTCCAGGAGGTTGTCACCTTCCCCCAAGACCATTTTCAAAAACCGCATATATTCTCTTACGTTCTTCGGGTCAGCAAACTCCCCCTTTGGGTTGTATTCAAGGATACTGCTAATAGCTCTCATATTTAAATTCGTTCTAGCGAAAGGGAGACCTTTGAGGGGCATACCGAAAGTATGGCTGTGATTCTAACGGGCCCCGTCGTACACAGGAACCCTGTGCCCCCTTACTTCGTTGACCCCTTCTTTTGTACTTAAGAGCAATGAAACAATATCTCTGAGAAGTTTAATCTCTTGAGGCGGACTTAAATTGGCTGTTTCATCATGGGAAAAAAAAAAGATCTCACTAGGCAGGGCGCATTGTCACGAATTGGACGTCACTTGCACCATCATGAAAAGGAGAGCATGTTGACGGATGGCCACCGTATTCTTGCCGTCAAGTACATCTACGGGCGCATTTAGCGCAATGAATAGTTTGAATTGATTACTGACGGACATCAAGTACTTGGATGCCTCTCGACGTACCTGCAATCGACCGGCCTTTGGTGATCGGAGACCGGCGGACCTTTCTGCAGGTCGACGTGATCCCGGCCGACCAAGTGTTTATTGATTTTCTGGACGAGTACTCTCACCCAAGACCGAATGAGGGGCAACAATGGTACTGGCTCGACCAGCAGGAGCCGGGAGAGATGACTCTTTTCTGCAGTTTTGATTCGTCTGTTCCAGGGGATGTGGGAGGTAAATGATTATGCTTGACTCCCTCCGCTCTAATTTGAATTTGCTCAACGACGATCCCTAACATCTACACTAGCTTACCCGCACGGCACATTCCATAACCCTCGTGTTGCCTTTGAGTCTCCCCGTCGCAAGAGTGATGAGACTTGGTCAATCATCTTCCTACCAGGCGGGAACATGCCTAAAAAGAATGAGCTGTATGGACTTGGGAATTCTTGCCCTCTGTGACACACTAGCTAGCAAGATCACCATGGGAAGTCTTCCCCATCAGCCATGAGGAAGCGACCGCTGTCGTTGGGTCCTAGCTTTTCTATAGTATCAACCATCAATGAGATTTGCGTTTCCATATCGTCCGGCCCAGTGAAGCCCGTCATTGTAGTGGGGATCCACCCGGGGTGAATGGCATGCACGGTGATACTTGTTTGCTCAAAAGAAAAGGTCCGAGAGAGCGACACAGTGAGCTGGTTGAGAGCCGTCTTAGAAAGACGATACCCGATCGAGCCCCCGCGGCGATTGTCTGGGGAGCGATAGTTAGTTAGACGCTGATAAACAAAACTGGCATCACTCTTACCTTGAGTGCTGGACAATGAAGCCAAGTTTGATGAAATGGTTATCACTTTGCCCGCGGTGGCGCGCTGGAGCGCATCTCGGAAATATTTGACTGCCAAAAATGGCCCCTGCAGTAGTATTCAGCAAATCTCCTCTCATCGGGTCAATATTTTCTTGGTCGACGCCACATACCACCGTGTTGACCTGGAACTTTTCCATGAGAATCTCGGCCGAGTGCTCCCACATGTCAATAGGGTTTGGTCCAACGCCTGGATACGCGCATCTTGTGAGTACGGGAAGATAGGGACAGTGTAAGAGATTGTGGTATCCGTAGCTAGAAGCTCACCTGCGCAGACAACAAGAAGGTCAAGTGCACGTGTCCCAAAGCTCTCGGCAGCAACCTTGATAGTCTCCTCTTGTTTGACATCAACCTGGAAAATTCGACGCAACATGAGAAATCTAAGACGCCCTCCAAGTCAATACGCTGAGGAGTAAATTGCAGAGCGTGCCGTGCAAAAACGATGTACGATACCTCTTCAATGCTTGCCTTGTCCTTGTCCAAGGATCTCACGGTCGCAAAGACATGCCAGCCTCTTTCGTGTAGTTTCTTGGACAAGTTTAAGCCGATGCCTTGTTTCGCTCCTGTGGCGCCCAAAGCAGTCAGTGCTGTCCTTGGACCATTGAAATGAGTGATGGACTCTACCAATGATAAGAGCATTGCGTGGTGCCTCGGATGAAATGATAGTAGCCATTTCGAAGGAATTTGCCTCGATACCAGTGGAAACGCCGTTTCTCCACACTATATAAAGCAGCGCGGCGAGGAAACTGGATAAAATGAATATTTTGCGTCTCAGCCAGATGGTCATGATACACCAGGCTCATGAGATGGAGGTGGAGATTGTAGATGGAGGTGGAGACTGTCGGAGAGGTTGTGGAACTTGAAGGGAGGAGATTGTGGGACAGGTGGAGACAGGGAGGGGAGATTGTGGAAGGAAGCAGAGCCGCACGAGAGACAATTGGGCACTACTGCATTATGCGAAAATGGCCCGACCAGCCCCGGGCAAGAGTCTAGCCAAATGGGCACCACGTTCACGTCGGTCTGACCAGCTGATCACACGACCTGGATGTACCACCTGCTAACAGGTACCCTGGCACTATGGTAACCCGCGAGGGGTATTTTAGATGTATTGGCGGGCGGGTAGAGGATGGCGTCAGCAAAATGTGGCAGTTGTCCCGTCCAATGGGCCAATGGCTTTCCCCCAACACCTTTTGTGAAGGAGTGAGCGGAGCGCCTACCCTATAATTTTCTTTCCTTAGATACCTTTCGATATTATTCCCTCCAAGGTGACTATCGTCAGTATAAGTTTTAAATTCAGTTATTTAAATCTTTAAATAATATATTAAGTTCTTAAATAAAATTTATTTTAATAAATCTCTTCTAATATATATATATAACTATATATTATACAGCTACTTAAAAAAAAAAAATTACTATTTTTATTTCGATAGAATTAGTCTTCAGTGTAATATATTATCTATTTCTCGGGCTCTAATTAGCTTAGATCGCTGTTTTACGTTCCATCCAAGTGATTTTGCTGCTTGGATAATAGCGAACGATTCGTACATTATGCTGTTACTTCCTCGCTAACAACATATTAATATGATTCTGCTTAATAGCTGTCGGGATCTTTCCCTATGGAGCTGAAGTTCGGCATTGCCTTTTCGGAGGATATGCGAAATTCTTAATGCTATGCGCCTCTGTGAAAGCAGCGACCTTGGCTCATTTATCCTAAGCCCCCGAGCGATCACTTAACCAACCACCTACATGTGGCTACAAACTGCGAAAGGTCACTTGATCTCTTGAGCCGAAAGAACGCCCCCTCCATAATCTTAGCAGTTACACACCTCCTCACCTCGTCACAGCGGCTACCTTAGGTAATGTAGGTACCATGCTAGCCCCGTAAGCTACCAATCAAAAGGTGTATTTCCACAACCACAGAGCTATAATGAGGGCCTTCTACTTAGATGATTCCGTAGGAAGCCTGATGTTCGCTGTGCTCTAATGGGGGTGGCTGCTTGTTTGCCGCTTTGGATACGAGGGTTTGGTTACCTAAGCCAAACGTGTCACTGGCTGAGGTATATCAATCCAACAAAGTCAGACCAGTATTTGCCTGGAACATGCATATCTGTCGGAGGTCTGATCCAGGGCTTTCCCTTTTTTCCAGTTTGCCTCCACCACCCTCCTTTCCAGCACGATGTCGAACTCGTTCATTGAGTTGGCAGATCCCGTACATGGTGAGACAATGCATACACGTGCTAATATAAGGACGGATTCCGGGAGCTAACTTTTTCATTTCAAATCGAAGTCAAAAACAGCCTCGAGTCCATCTTCTCAGGGGATATCGTGCACCTACAATGGTATCTACCGTGGATACTACGCAAAATATGTTCCGACACCGCATCTTCCGAGACCGCGGACCCCTCGACTTTTGAGGGCTCTATGTATAATACCGGCAGCATATCCTCTCGATCGGCACTTGGTGCACTAGTACAAACCGCGACGCTCATCAGGACAGGCTCTGAACCCACCATCGAGTCCATTGCAGACGCGCTCAAAAACACGTTCCACCACCGGCCAGCCTCCGCCGCGACGGATGATCAACGTTCTATCGCAAGGCTAAGCCTTGCCTTTTGCATCCTCTCATGTCTCACCTTTCTCTATGAGCCACAGCCTACCGCCTCTGAACAAGTGTTCCGCATCGTCCCCCCCTAGGGCTGATGGGATTCAATGCTTTTCCACGTCTCGGCCGATCTCGGATGCCAGAAAGAGGCTTCCATCCTTTCTCAAGGGGTTTGGAATGCTTCTTCCGATGAAACAGAGAGAACCACCCCCCTTCGATGGCTCTGACAGTTTCAGAGTGGCACACCTTCCTCGGAGGCTAACACCACAGACGTTTAATATGAAGCTGCTCCAGTCATCTGGAGGTCTCAAGATTCGGTGGACGGACTCGCTGTCGGTGCATCTACATATGGATCCAGAGAAAAGCCATCTACAACTCTTCCGATTTCCCAGTTACTGCTGGGCAAGCATTCCACCCATATTCTCACGCAGTGAGAATCATGGTTTTAAGTCGGTCTCGGTTCTACACAAGTGAGTAATTCATTCGCTATATGAGGCTATGGCTAATCTTCGAGGAAGCTGCGCGATGGACTCGACCGATGCTCATTGGATGCAGGAATGGGAAGTGTCTGAGTATCTCGCTTGAAGTATTGCAGTCATATCGCCTTCTTTTTGGCCAGAGCAAGGCCGGAAGGGAACTGTATTCCAAGCATAAGCCGGCAAAAACGGGTGCGCAGGGTCACGACGGCCTCCTGGACCAGCTTTGCTCAGAAGCTCAGCCTCTGCTCAGCGTCCTCGAAGACAGAGAGGCATATAACTTTGCGTCAAGTTTCGCATTTCTCTCTATACGCTTCCAGGAACTCAGCATCCACCTTGAGAACACAAAACCAAGATCATGGATAGAGCTCTGGAAGGATAGACGGGATTCTGCTCAGTGGCTGACTTTCTGGACTGTCTTGCTTTTTGGTTGTTGTGGTTTGGTGCTCAGTTTTCTTGGGACTGTGGCCCAGATATTACAGCTTTGGCGGTCATGGTGATGGCCAGTATAGTTGTCTGTTTAAAGGTGCAACTGATTGATCGAAGGGAGAAGGGAGAAGCAAAATGGAAAGTACATTATCAAATAACTCAATTAGCAAACAAACCCAGTCATGCCACAGCAAATCGGAAACCATCACCAACTCCCACTCAACGAAATTTAATTGGCATAGTTCTTTCGTAATCTTCAATAGATGTGCCGGCCTACTTTACCCCGATGTCTCCGAGTATGCTCTGTGCCTTTTGAAGCCTGATCTCGGCTTCTTCCGCTTTGCTGGCTGCCCGGTACATGAGAGACAGCTGGAATAATGAGCGACCCACATAGTTACGGGCCTCTGGTATTGTCTCAAGGGCACTCTGGCTTATTTCAAGTAGCTCTCTGTATGCGATGTGATCAGATGGGCAGTCAAATGATGGTAAATACTAAATAAGGCATGCCGAGAGGAAGGAGGATCCGGGGGCCTCACTCACATTGCTAACTCGTATTCTTTACATATTTCAGCCATGTTCGCTGTATAATAGAAAGAGACGCAGGTGTAATAATGATTGCGCATTATTCTGCGCCGTGCAGTCAGCACCTTTGTATGGATATCAAAGGCTTCCTTGTCCCTTTTTTGTGAAGCTCGGAGCTTCGCCAAGAAGAAGAGTGCTCTTTAACGCCTCATTAGCGCACTTTACCTTAGTTTTCAACGAGTTAAATCCTGACACCGGGAAGGGAAGAGGAGTTGGAAATCGGAGAACGAAGAACCGACTCACTGATTGAACCCGAAGCCATCCTCATTCTCGCATTGCCGATACCTTTCCAACGACCGTTGCACTATGATCTCTGCCTCTTTGGAATACCCGTAATGGATCAGGTAGCTGGAAAAGTTGCAGTCGTGAAGTGCCAAGTCGCTCAAGTCCTTGGGATGGTATGTTTCCCGGTGGGCCTGGCCACGCTTGAAAATGTCGCGGCATTTGTCCATGTCGCCAAGCTCGCCGTATGCAGCAGCCAAGTTACACAGATTCTGGCCGACGAGGAAGTGGCTCTCCCCGTGAAGTTCCCTCCTAAGGGCAAGATTTTCCTCCCATATCTGCCTTGCCTCCTTTTGGAAGTTCTGGTGATGATAAATGAGAGCTCGGATGCTGCGGGTTGAAGCCTTGAGTGGTCGATCATGCTCACAGACGGCTTCGGCTTTTTGAAGGAGATCCTTGGCACGCTCAAAATGGCCAGCTTCGTAGAGATACCTGAACATAGTTTTAGTCTAAGCATGGAGAGACAGATGAAGTGGGGGGCGCGGCGGGAGTCTTACCATGAAGTGTCGGAGAGAAGGCGTGGAAATCCAGAAGCGTTCTCCAGAGAGACGTGGAACTTCTGGTACGTCTGCACCAGCGCAAGCACGTGAGGAAGGCATTCCTGAGCAACATGCCACATCTCGCTCTTGTACGCATTGGGCAAGGTTGCCGAGGTGACCTTGGGGAAAGCCCTCTTCACCAGAAGCACGGCATCCTCGAACCGTCCTTGAATGTGGTCTTTGGGCATTGAATCCAAAATGACCGCCTGGATCAATCGATGGATGTGGAAGAAATCGCTTTCCCTGTCACTCTGTATCAATGCCTGCTTTTCCAGCTGGCTTTGGGCTGATAGAAAGCTACAATGTCTCGTATCAGTTGTGTTGCTGCAGCGACTTGGCGTCTTTTGGATAGGACCAGAACCAAACTTACCTCAAATCTTGTGGTAGCGTGAGAACACATTCGTAAATAAGACCTAGAACATTATATTTGCCAGATAGATCCGCCACAGTTAGTGTTTCAGACCTAATCTGAAACGAATCATCAGCTTTAGGAACCGTGAATTGCCTGTTTTAGACGTCAAAGGTGCCCTACCTTTGCCAGAATATATATGCTACCCCAAACATATGCTCCGACATGGGTTCCGCACAAGGAAAGCTTTGACATTACTGACACAAGCGTGGTTAGGTGGTTTTGAAGATGCGTTGCGTTTTGCTGCAGAGACTCGTGGTGAGAAGGAGATTCCCTCGAGGCCTGTAGCATGCTCAAGTTTGCTATCCGTTCGACTGTTTCAAGATCATGAGGGTCAATATCGGCCACCCGCTTCCGATACTGGTCATGAATAGACACGAATGCTTTTTCACATCTAAATTCAAATCAATTAGCCCATCTTCTTGGCTATTGTCCTTGTCTTTCTCTATCGCATACGCCATGATTGTCCTGACAAACTGACAATCCCCACAGGGTAGGATTGTTCAATGAAGCTTGGTATCAAAAGATCAAGTTTATGCGATTAACAAAGACTAATAGTGTCGGAGAACGCAATTAAAATATCGTAGACATTCCTTGTTGTTTCCGCGCGACAAGGAAGAAATAGAGTGTTGACCAGGCCTTGAATTGAGGCAGTGGCAACATCTGCTCAGGCCCCGACGAGAAATACATAGGTAGAAGAGAAACGGAACACTGCTAATTAGAATCAGCCGCAATGTGCCGCTTATGTACATGCTCTGATAGACAAGAAAGGCCGGGAGTGGCACACGCACACTCGTGCAAAGCTTCCACAAACTTGTGGCTGAATATAGAGTGGGCGGCACGTAATTGAGGGGTGTCATTAGCAAGCGGGGGATGTAACTGAAAAAGGAATCGAGGAGGTACCACAGTAGAGTACTCGAATCCGTTCACAATCTAAAACCGGAAAACTGCAATTGTTAATTTATTATCTAAACCGTAGCCCAACCAAGCCGGTTCTGTACCCACCTAGTTTCGACATAAATGTGAAGTGACGATGGAAGCGGATAGCACATAGCACGTCTACTCAACAAGGACCAGAGTATCAACAGTTCTGAGAGCCGAATGGCGACTGAATATTACATTACATGATCTTCCTCAGCCTTTCGAGGCTTCGTCGTAGAAATCGCATACTAACGTCTCCAGCAGGATTATAACGTTTGGCTGGGGAAAAAGGTAATGTATTCTGCACCCGCGTCAATCTCTTTGCGGGAAAACATGAATATGGATGGCCTACGCGTTTGTGTTTCAACTTCAAGGGGTCTGATATGAGATCGATGATGGCCTCAGTCACGATGGTAAATTAAAGGGTTTTAATGCACCTGAACAGGCGTGCTTGTTAATGAAACTGGAAACATTGTCCCTGATCGCGCAATTGATCTACAAAAGACGGTCATATGTCGCCATTTGTTGTTATCTGAGGCAATAGCGTGAGCCGCAAATAAGGATACGATTTTCTAGATCGATCCTATTCCGTACATGTTAACTTGTTGTTGGGAGAATAAATGAAAATAAGTTGCTTCCTTTCAAATTGCAACCTTTGGAACAGCTATTGTTCAAGAGGGAACAGCATCATTATCATGGCCAAAGAAATGTAGGTGGTTCTCTCAGACCAACACGATTGTATCTTGCTAATCAGCTTACAGCGATGTTGACGTGCTCGTCATCGGCGCCGGCCCGACTGGCCTCGGTGCTGTCAAGTGTCTCCAGCATTCGCTACAGGATTCCACACATTGCATATGAGTTTGTACTGACTTTTCATGTAGAACAGCGTTTGTTGGCTCATCATTGATTCGAATGAGACTCCCGGTGGTCTTGCATCTACCGACACCACCCTCGAAGGCTTCGTAAGAAACCGTTGTGGCGTCTAAGAGAAATGAAGCTTACTCGTTTAGCTCTTCGATGTTGGGGGCCACGTCATCTTCTCACACTACAAGTACCTTGACGATGTCATCAACGAGGCTCTCCCCAAGCCAGACGACTGGTACGAGCATCAGCGTATCTCCTTTGTCCGCTACCAGGGTCTTTGGGTCCCGTACCCCTTCCAGAACAATATTGCCGTGCTTCCCAAGGAGGAGCAAGCTAGATGTCTGACCGATCTCATTGATGCTGCCCTTGCGGCTCGCGTGCGATCTCCATCGGACAAACCGGCAAATTTCGACGAGTGGAATGTTCGCAATGTCGGTGAGAGACTAAATGAGATTTTCATGCGTCCTTACAACTTCAAAGTCTGGGCTGTTCTTACAACCAAGGTATGTTATAACTCGTGGGATTGTCTCGCTCCTTAGTAACTCTCCCAGATGAACTCCACCCAGGTCGGAGAACGTGTCGCCGCTCCCGACGTAAAGCTTGTCATCACCAACGCCATCCTCAACAAGGCAGCTGGAGGCTGGGACACCAACGCCACATTCCGCTTCCCTGCCCGGGGAGGTCCTGGAGGGATCTGGATAGCTGTTGCAGATACTCTTGATCAGAGCAAGACTCGCTTCGGCGAGCATGGGGCAGTGCCCAAGATGGACGCTGGCTCCAAGAATGCTCACTTGAAAGATGGTATTTGAGCCAATCCTCGCCCCTTTTCAAATCTCTCACTAAAGATCAATGTCTAGGAACTGTTGTCAAGTACGGGTCACTCATCTCGACCATGGCACTGGATCAGCTCGCCCAGTGTCTGGGCGATGCCAACCTTCAACATTCGCTTGGGCCGCGGTGCTATTTCTCTACCAACGCTGTCGGTGTTGGTATTCGCGGAAATAGTCCCGAACGCATTGGTGACAAATGTTGGGTAAGATTCTGCGATGTTTTAGTTACCATGTTTACATAGGCCGCTGACAATATCCACAGCTGTACTTACCTGAGGACAACGCTCCTTTTTATCGAGCTACTATACCTATACTGGAGAGAGTTTTAATAGAAAGTTAATATTTTTTTTTATTGGTTTTACTGTAAATAAGGGTATATCCTAAGATCAGGTAATATATAACTAGATTATATAATTTTTTTAAGAATATAATTAGCAGTCTATACCTGAACCTTTAACTCTATAAGATAAAGTTAGATATTATACTTTTAGTCTGGGTATAGGTATTAATATCTTAAAAACTCTAATAATAGGAGCTATTTATATAGCTAGATATATAAATAGCCCGGCTATAGCTATAGCCTCTAAGGGGGAAAGCTTATTATCTAATAATTATATCTACTTACTAAGCTTATTAAATATTAATTAATTACTAGATATCTTAAATAATAATAGCTATAATAGCTATATCTAATATAAATATTCTAATCTCTTAGGATCTGATTAATACTTCTAATAAGATCTTTTAAGAGATAATAACTATTATCAGAGATAATATAAGATAGTTATTTACTAACTATATTTATTATATACTACTCTGATTAGTTAAGGGTCTGCTTATAGTAATAAAGCTGCTTTTAATAGTATAGATTAAGTAGCTATATCTACTTAGTCTATTACTTTATTATATAGCTTACCTAGAGCTATAGTAAGTACTTATAAAGAATAGAGACTAGCTAGAAGAAAAACTATATCTTAAGAATAGCTATCTACTTATACAGGCCTACTATAATCTAATATATAATTTATAGTTTTAGTATATTATATACTATATTAAGATAATTAAAGTAGAGATAGCTTTTAAAAGTTAATTAAGCTTATATTTTTATTTTTAATTATCTAGTTTAGATTTAGATTAGAATATCAGATTAGATTAGATCAGGCTTAGTATTATTAGTATTAGTATATTAGAGTTTATTTTAGTTTAATTTAGAATTATATATATTTAGAAATAAAAAAGTTAGTTATTTTTAAAATTATAAGTTAATTTATCTCTATAAGTATAGTATATATTTACTACTATAGGAAATTTTTATTAAGAATAATATAGATTTAATATTAATCTGATATTTATTTATATATATTTAGTTATACTATATAATAAGAAAGTTAATATAAAAAAAAAGAAGTTAGATCTAATAAATTAATATAATAAATATAAATAATTAAAAAAAAGCTTTATTAGTCTAAAGCTATAGTTATATAGTAGAAGATTCTATAATATAATCTATAAATAAGCTAATTATATAAGTAAGCTAATTACTTCTATCTATCTCTTATATAATAAAGTTAATTAAAATAATAATAACTAATTATCTATAATAATAATATTAGAAATTAATTTATTAGACTTCTCTCTAATCTCCCTATAGATTTAAATATTATAATCAGGCTTTCTATAATTACTATATTATAGAATCTTTATATAAGCTTACTCTCTCTAACTACTACTTTTATAGTTTTCCCCTTTTAGCTACTTATCTATATCCTTCTAGTCTAATAGATTTATTCTATTCTATATAGTTAGAAACCCTCTAAGCTATATATAGCTTTTTTTAGCTCTTTAGTACTTACTTAGTATCTTATTTACTATATAAAGATTATAGATCTTAGTATATAAAAGAGCTACTTAGTATATTATTATAATTCCCCCCTTTATAAATTAATTTATTATAATTAGTATAGAGATTAGAGAACTATTTTAATAAACTAAGATTTAAGATTTAATATACTTAGACTATATATTTACTTTATATATAGTCTATAGTATCTTTAGAATCTAGAGCTATTTTATCTTAGATAGAGTCTCTAATAGTATTAGTATTTATAGTACTATATCTAGCTTTAAAAGAACTCTTTCTAGATTATATAGTATTAGATTAGATCTAATAAAGCCTATCTAAATATTCTTCTCTATAAAGAAATAGAAAAAAACTATATAAAAAATAGAGAGAAATTTAAGTTTACTAATATAGATAATATATATCTATATTAGACTTTTAATCTCTTATCTATATAACTACTTAAATAATCTAAAGTAGCTAATATCTAATAGCTAAAGAAAGTAGGAAGAGTAAGAAGATATATAAATTATAATAATCTTCTACTCTTAATAGTAGATCTTAAAGTTAGCTAAATAGTAGCTCTTATAACTATTAAGAATTAATATCTAATATATTCTCTTTATATAAGGAGCTATATAGGAGTTAAAGTATTTAATCTAATTCAGATTAATCTTATTAATAGTCTAATTATTTTTAGTTATTATAAGCTACTAGTTATATAGTAGATTATATTTCTAATACTAGTTCTTAAGATAATATTAGATAGCTAGAATAATAAAAGGAAAAATAGCCTAGCTAGCTATATTTATTTCTTAGATTATAATTATCTACTTCTAGTTACTAGATTAAACTAGTTTAATCTTTATATAACCCTCTAAGATTATAACTACTATCCTAGAGAAGATAATATTTATTATAAAGCTAGTTTTATTAAAGTTATATAGATTCTTATCTAGAATACTATATTTTATCTTTAGATTATATATAAAACTAAACTAAAATATAATAATCTTTAGATCTTTATATTTAACTCTCTAATAATTATATTTCTAAACCTAATATATATAGAGTTCTAATTACTATTTAATAAAGTTAGAAGCCTAATTAATACTAATAGAAGGTATATTATATATATATAATAGAATATTAGCTATTTTCTTAATACTATATATCCTAGGAGGAAATATATATATAGATAGCTTAAGTATATATAAGATAATAGCTTTCTCTTTAGATTTTAATAGATTTATTAATTTTAATTAAGTATTATATTTTACTATATAATTAGTATATTAATTATAAAGGATTATATATAGAACTTAATAAACTTTTACTATTATTCTAATATTTAATTTTAGATTTTAATTAAGAGTTTAGATTATAAGAATAATATTTATTTTATATAAAGTTATATTTATTTTATAGTAGAAAGTTATTTAATTATAAGAAGAAAGTTCTAATTTCTAGATAGAAGTAATTAGCTTACTTATATAATCAGCTTACTTATAGATTATATTAAATCTTTATACTAATAACTTACTTACTATTAAAATAAACTATATATAAAATAATTATTAAAATTATTTTTTTATCTAGTTTTATATTTATTTTATATTATATTAATCTATATATTTTTATTTAATATAAATTAATTAATAAATATTAAAATCTCTTTAGCTAGAGTACTAATACTAATATATTTATAATCTTTATTATTTATTCTAATAAATTATAATAGATAATATAATTTATAAATAAGCTGATTATATAAATAAGCTAATTACTTCTATCTAGAAATTAGAACTTTCTCTTTATAATTAAATAACTTTCTATTATAAAATAAATATAACTTTATATAAAGTAAATATTATCCTTATAATCTAAGCTCTTAATTAAAATCTGAAATTAAGTATTAGAATAATAGTAAAAGTCTATTAAGTTCTATATATAATTCTTTATAATTAATATATTAATTATATAATAAAATATAATATTTAATTAAAATTAATAAATCTATTAAAATCTAAAGAGAAAGCTATTATCTTATATATACTTAAGCTATCTATATATATATTTCCTTTTAAAATATATAGTATTAAGGAAATAGTTAATATCTTATTATATATATATAATATACTCTCTATTAGTATTAATTAAGCTTTTAACTTTATTAAGTAGTAACTAGAGCTCTATATATACTAGATTTAGAAATATAACTATTAGAGAGCTAAATATAAAGATCTAAAGATTATTATATCTTAGTTTAATTTTATATATAATTTAAAAATAAAATATAATATTCTAAATAAGAATCTATATAACTTTAATAAAATTAGCTTTATAATAAATATTATTTTCCCTAGAATAATAATTATAATCTTAGAGGATTATATAAAAGCTAAGCTAATTTAATCTAATAACTAGAAATAGATAATTATAATCTAAAAAATAAATATAGCTAGCTAGATTATCTTTTCTTTTATTATTCTAACTATTTAATATTATCTTAAGAACTAGTATTAGAAATATAATCTACTATATAACTAGTAGTTTATAATAATTAAAAATAACTAAACTATTAATAAGATTAATCTAGATTAGATTAAGTATTTTAATTTCTATATAACTTCTTATATAAAAAGAGTATTTTTATTAGTTTTACTATAAATAAGAGTATATCCTAAGATCAGATAATATATAATTTAATATATATTTTTTAAGAATATAATTAGTAGTCTATATCTAAATCTTTAATACTATAAGATAAAGTTAAAATTAAATACTTTTAGCCTGGGTATAAATATTAATACTTTAAAAACTCTAATAATAGGAGCTATTTATATAGCTAGATATATAAATAGCCTAGCTATAGCTATAATCTCTAAGAGGGAAAGCTTATTATCTAATAATAATAACTATCTTTTCTTTCTATTAGAACTTATTTTAATTAATTAATTAATTAAATTATATTATTAATTAATTACTTAATTAATTAATTACTTAATTAATTAATTATTTAATTAATTAATTACTAGATATCTTAAATAGCTATAATATTTAATATAAATATTCTAATCTTTTAGAGCTTATTTAATACTACTAATAAGACCCTTAAAGTAATAATAACTATTATCCGAGATAATCTAATATAGCTATTTATTAATTATATTTATTATATACCCCTTTAATCAGTTAAAGGCCTACTTATAGTAATAAAGCTACTTTTAATAGTATAAGTCCAGTAGCTATATCTGCTTAGATTATTACTTTACTATATAGCCTGCTGCTAGTAGCTACTGTAGGTACTTATAGAGGATTAAGATTAGCTTAAGTAAATACTATATCTTAAGAATAGCTATTCTCTTATATAGGCCTACTATAACCTGATATATAACTTATAGTTTTAGTATATTATATACTATATTAAATTAATAAGAGTAGAGATAGTCTTTAAAAATTAATTATTTAAACTTTATATTATTTTTAGTTATATTCAGATCAGAGTATTAGTTAGATTAGATTAAGTTTAGTATTAGTATATTAGAATTTATTTTAATTTAATTTAGAATTATATATATTTAGAAATAAAAAAGTTAGTTATTTTTAAGATTATATATTAATTTATCTCTATAAGTATAATATATATTTACTACTATAGGAAATTTTTATTAGAAATAATATAGATTTAATATTAATCTAATATCTATTTATATATACTTAGTTATATTATATAATAATAAAAAGAGTATATTAAATACTAATTCTTAATAATTATAAGAGCTATTATTTAACTAACTTTAAAACTTACTATTAAGAGTAAAAGATTATTATAGTTTATATATCTTCTTATTCTTTCTATTTTTTTTAGCTACTAGATATTAGCTATTTTAAACTATTTAAATAATTATATAGATAAAAGATTAAGAGTTTAATATAAATATATATTACTTATATTAATAAGCTTAAATTTCTCTCTATCTTTTATATAGTTTTCTTTTATTTTTTTATAAAGAAGAATATCTAAATAGATTTTATTAAATCTAGCTTAATACTATATAATTTAGAGAGAATTCTTTTAAAGCTAGATATAATATTATAAATACTAATACTACTAGAGATTCTATCTAAGATAAAATAGCTCTAGATTCTAAAGATATTATAGATTATATATAAGATAAATATATAGTCTAAGTATATTAAATCTTAAATTTTAGTTTATTAAAATAGCTTCTTAATCTTTATACTAATTATAATAAATTAATTTATAAAGAGAGTAATTATAATAATATACTAAATAGCTCTTTTATATATTAAGATTTATAATCTTTATATAGTAAATAAGATACTAAATAAGTACTAAAGAGCTAAAAAAAACTATATATAGTTTAGAGGGTTTTTAACTATATAGAATAGAATAAATCTATTAGATTAGAAGAATATAAATAAATAGCTAAGAGAGAAAAACTATAGAAGTAATAGTTAGAGAGAGTAAGTTTATATAAAGATTCTATAATATAGTAATTATAGAAAGTCTAGTTATAATATTTAAATCTATAAGAAGATTAAAGAGAAATCTAATAAATTAATTTCTAATATTATTATTATAGATAATTAGTTATTATTATTTTAATTAATTTTATTATATAAGAAATAGATAGAAGTAATTAGCTTATTTATATAATTAGCTTACTTATAGATTATATTAATAATATTTTAATACTTTTCTAAAAAAAAGTTAAAAAAAATCTAATTAATAATCTCTAAATTTATAATTAATATTAATAATTCTAAGCTTACTAGCTTAATTAAATCTATTAATATAAATAAAATTAATATACTAAATAAAAATAAACTTAATAATCTCTTTATATTAGTATACTAAATATCTATAATAAGTAGTTACTAGCTATAGGCTAATTATAGAGTAATTAGTTTAGTTATAACTACTCTAAAACTAGCTTTATATAATAGTTAGATAACTTATACTAAATAGGATCTAGAGTAAGTTAGGGTTAAACTAATTAGAGTATTATTCTAAGTAGTATAATTAGATTATTTTAAGCTATATAATATAAATTACTATTAATATATAAGTATTATAAAGCTAGTAATAATAGATATATAGATAATTATATTAATAATTATCTAAAAAAGTATTCTAATTAATAAAATAAATATATATATATAATAGTTATAGAGTATAAGGAATATACTACTTCTAGTAAGCTAAATATATTTTATAATAGGAGTATAATACTTCTATTACTTCTATTCCTTAGATAGTAAGATATATATAACTATATAATCTATTATAAAGATCTTTATTTATAATATAATACCTTCTCCCTATTAGTTTTATTCTTAAAATTCTATATAATCTTAGTAAGTTCTTTCTCTCTTTATATATAATAGCTATACTATAATATTTATTATATCTAACTATATTTAAAAGCTAGTATATTCTAAGACTTATAAATAGATCCTTCTTATTATTACTATCTAAATATTTAATTTATTAGCTAATATACTATATACTCTATATTTTAAGATAAAAAAAGAGTATTTTATTCTTCTAAATAGAAAGTCTTCTTAGTATAATAAGTATATATAAAATAGTTATTATTATAATAGAGTACTAGTTATATCTAATTATAAGTATTTTTATATTCTTCTTTTCTTAGTTCTCTCTTTTAATTTTATTTTCTAATAGAAAAGCTAATAATATAGTAGAAAAAACTAACTAAAGAAGAATCTAATATAGATAAGAAGATTCTTCTTTTATATTAATAAATAACTTAACTCTAAAGTAATCTTTCTATAGCTCTAGAGTATATTTAGTATATTATAAGATATATAGCTATATTAAAAGTAAGATATAATAAGAGATCTAATATAATCTCTAAGAGCTTAATAAGAAAGATTAACTATTTTTAAATTAAGCTTTTAACTTTCTTAATACTTCTAAGTAATATACTATAGAGAAGGTTTAATTTTTAGAGATTATCTCTAAGATAGATTTAAATTTATTAGGTTTTAAAAAGAATTTTTTTAATTTAGCTTTTTTCTTTTCTTCTAATAAAACTAATAAATTAGATATTAATACTTCTTTAGATATTTAATTAGTTTCTAGATATTATTATTTTCTCTATAATCTTTTTATTTTACTAAATAAAATATTTATTTATTTCTAATTTCTTTCTTTAGAACTTTTTCTAATTTAAATTTTTCTTTATAGATTTTAATTAGATAATCTTAATCTAGTATATTATCTAGTACTTTTTTAAATAGTAAAATATAAAAAACTAGATAGATATATATTATATCTAGTAATAATAATCTATAGTTAGTATCTAATTTTTTCTTAAGAATTTTAAATAGTTTAAGTTTTTTATAATTTAATTTATTACTTAGTTTTATTATTATAATATTTTTATAAAGTAAATAGATTTTATTTTCCTTCTTTAGAATTAGTTCTTCTAATCTAGTTTTATTATAATATTTTTTTATTTTTTTTTAAATAAATTTAAATTCTATTTTTATTTCTATATATAATAAATATAGTATTTCTTTTATTAATATAATAGCTAGTATATTAGATCTATTAAGTTCTAATTAATTCTAAAATTATAATTTATAATTATAATTTATATATATAGATATTAGCTAGATAGATTCTTATACTTAATTATTATAAGTAATCTATATTATTAATAATAATTATATCTAATTATTTTATTTATAATTAATATATATTTATAGATATTATTCTAGAGTTTAATTTAATTATTCTATTTAACTATTATTCTATAGGTAATAAGCTATTAAAAGCTTATATTTAGTATCTATTTATACTATAAATAATTATTAAAACTTTAAAATAAATATTATTTCTCTATCTAATATAATCTTATTAGATAATCTATAATAACTAACTATATATTATAAGAATTAATATATAAGATCTTCTATAAAACTTACTTTTTTATATAAAATAAAGTATTTATACTTTATAAATCTATTAATAATTATTAAAATATTATTATACTCTATTCTAGTTATTAGTTCTTTTAATAATAGTAGTTTAATAATATAGTTAAAAAATACTAATTATTAAAGTTATTTTAATACTAGAACTAGTTTAAATTCTCTATAGAGTTTATATTATATAGATTTAATTTATATATAAGTATTATATTCTAAAATTATAATCTATATATCTTTTTATAAATCTAAATAATTATAATATTATCTAATTCTATTAAATATTTTCTTAACTTTTTAATATTCTAAGAGTAAATATTTATAGATTTCTTTAATAAGTATTATTTTAATATCTTACTATAGTTTTTCTAAATTAAAAATAATCTCTATCTAGATCTTTATATATACTATTTCTTTAAATATAATTTCTAAGGTTTTCTATACTAAGTATTCTTTATTATTAGTTAAAAATAGCTATCTATTTATTTTTAAAACTATTTTTTTATATTTAGTTTTTTAACTAAAAGTATTAGTTCTTTTATTTTCTAATTCTTTTTAATATATAATTTTATAATTAAATTAAAATAAATATTTAATATAGTATATTTATTTTCTATTTAGTTATTAGATTATAGTAAAATACTAAATATTCTTATAATCTATATATATTTTAATCTTATATATTATTTCTAAATAATAATATTTAAATTCTTTAAATATATATATAATAGCTATAAATTCCTTATTATAAATAGAATAATTAAGTTCTATACTATATAGTTTCTTTAAAAAGAATATTATAGAATATAATACTTTATTATTATCTCTCTAACTAATTTATATACTAATTATAAAGTTTAATATATTAGTTTTAAATTCTACTTTCTTTATAGAATTAAATATTTATAGTATAAGTTCTAAGAGTATTTAGTTTTTTATTTTATTAAATACTTATTACTATTTATTATTTTATTAGAATTCTATTCTCTTTTTAGTAATATTATATAAGAATATAGTAATTTTTCTATAGTTCTTAATAAATTATTAATAATAATTAGTAAATCTAAAAAAGATTTATACTTTCTTAATAGTTTTTAATACTTTTTATTTCTTAACTATAGTAATTTTATCTTATTCTATTTATATTTTATTTAGTTAAATAGTATATTCTAAGAAGTTAATTTCTTATATATAGAAAAAACTCTTTTCTAGTTTTATAAAAAATTTTACTTTTTCTAATTTTTCTAAAACTTAGTATATATATTCTTTATATATTTTTAGATTATTTAAAAAGATTAAAATATTATTAAGATAAATAATTATAAAGATATTAAGATATTTCTAGAATATTTAATTAATTATTTATTAGAATATTATAAATATATTTATTAGTTTAAAGAGTATAATAAAGTATTTATAGAAATTAAACTTTATTTTAAATACTATTTTCTATTTATTTTCTTTTTTAATTTATATTAGATTATAAATTTCTTTAAGATTTAATATTATAAACTACTATTTATCTTATAATTAATCTCTTAATTCTATAATTAATAGTAGAAATATTCTATCTTTATATATAATTTTATTAAGCTATTAGTAATTTATAATAAGTTATAGTTTTCTATTTTTTTTTAATATAAATATTATAAAATAGTCTATAGATAAAATTAATAGTTATATATAGTCTTTTACTAATATATTATTAATATATTTATAAAGTATTTATAACTAAAGTTCTATAAGATTATAAAGTTTATAAAAAACTAGTTCTCTATCTTTAATAATAGAGATTTTATAGTTCTACTAGCTATATTCTAATAAGCTAATTTCTAAAGCTTCTTTAAATAGTTTATTATAAACTTTATATTCTTCTAGAATATTTTTAGTTATTTTTCCTTCTTTATTTCTTTTTTTAATTATTATCTTTATATTTTCTTATTCTATTAATTAACTTTAACTTTATATTTCTATTATTATTAGTAGATTATTTATATCTAATCTATAAAGTTTATATCTATTTCTTAAAATTAATCTATTTTTTATATTTAAGCTAGTATTTATATTACTTATTATAGTTCTTAATAAAATATTTTTATTATTATATTAAATTATAATACTATTAAAATTATAACTATTATATCTATTTATTATTATAAATTATTATAATTTTTTATAATAGTATCTTTAGATATTAAGAAATAAATATATTTTTCTAATATCTAATAAAATTTTAATTTTTATTAATTCTAATCTAGATATATAAAAGTATTTTACTACTTTATATAGTTAATATATTAATTAATTAATAAGTTTATATCTTATAACTATAATAGTTTTAATATAATATTATAAATTCCTAATAATATTAAGTTATAAATAATATTAAATTTCTTTTTTTAGATTTTAATTATAAAATAATTAATCTTTAAGTTAATAATTCTATTATTATATTTAAACTTTAAATTTTTAATATTTATAACTATATAGATTTTTTTTCTTTTTTTTTATAATAAATAGAATTAGTTAATTATTACTAGTAAAATATAATTTTCCTATACTCTATAGTTAATAAATACTATAAACTAGTTCTTTTTAATCTTTACTTTTATAAGAATATATATAGAGTTTTCTACTTTTATAGCTTCTAGAGTTTTCTAATTTATTATTAATATTATACTATACTATAGTTTTATTATAAATAGTTTAGATTATTTTTTATCTAATTAATTTATTTTTAAAGTTTATTTATTAATAATAATATATTTTACTTATTATATATTTTATTCTATTTTTATTTATTAATAGAAATAATTTCTAATTCTTTATTATTATTTTTTTTATTATTTATAGAAGAAAATTATCTATATAAATATTAATTTTATATTTCTTTCTTCTATAGTTATTACTATTTAAAATATAACTTAATAGTATTTATATTATTATTATTATTTTATATTAATATTAGTACTTCTTATTTAACTTCTTAATAATTTCTATAGTTCTAATTATAATATAACTCTATATAATTATTATAATTATATATAGTTTAGTTTTCTATCTATTAATAGTTATATTATAATCTAATTTTATTATTCTTATAAATCTTATATTTTTATTCTTAATATATTTCTATTAGAAGTTCTTTCTTTATATATTCTTTAAAGTATTTTCTTAGATTTTCTTTAAAGATAATATAGAATTTTATTCTATAGTATTAGTATATAAATTATTATATTTAAATTATATTATATTTTCTAGATATTCTTCTATTAGAAAATAGAAAAAAATTATTTAATACTTTTTCTTATTAATATATAATATACTAAATATTATAATATATTATTTAGAATTCTAATCTATAGTTATACTTCTAGCTAGTATTTATATATATTAAATTCTTATATTTATTACTAGAGTATTAAATAGTATCTATAGTATTCCTTCTATATAATACTATTCTATATATTTTCTTAAAATCTTATATCTATATCTTCTATTAGTAATAAATATAGAGTTTATTATATTTAGCTTTAATTTTATTTCTAGTAAATATATATTAATTCTATTCTTTAGAGATATATTTAATAAATCTATTAATATAATAGAATATATATTTATATTTAGTAAAAAATCTATAGTTTATAATATCTTTTTTATTCTTATATTTCTATTTAAATTCTTAGAGAATATATATAATATATTATTAATTTTCTTTTAATACTATTTACTTTATTTTTTTATTACTAGTTTTTAATATTTTATAGAAGTTTAATATAAGTTTTCTAGAAAATATAAAAATTATAATAATTATATAGTTTTCTTTTTAAATAATTTTTCTAATTA